TCCCTAGACAGGCCTTTTCCTTCAACAGGGAGGATGGACGAGAATACCACTTGCTCCCCAAATCTTTTACCCTTCTTCCCAGAGCCACATAGTCTGCAGTGATCCACTCAAGGTCATTCTTGGAAGAATCGCTGGTTCCCACGTGGATAAGTAGGAAGGGGTAGTGGTCCAAGGGCTTAATGAGTTTTAGCAGACTCTCAGTAACATCCTGAATTCCAGTTCTAGGCAAGCAACACACTTCTTGGGATTCCTGGGCTGGAGGGCAGATGGATGACTCTGTCCCCCTTAGGAAGGAGTTCCTGACCACCACCACCCTTCCCCTCCTCTTCGGAGTGGTGGTCATGGAACCCTCATCCCTAGGACAACGCATCCCATGCCTTCCGGTCGACAGGGTCTCCTGATCCCTTCCCTCAGATGACTCTTCCAAGGCATTCTCAGCAGTAGTATCTGTGCAGAGAGCCTGAAAGCGGTTGCTTACCTACTCTCAATTTGTCCAGAATACATTTGCCTAGGAAGGTCGTGGAAGCTCCTTCACTGGAGCTTTTCAAAAGGAGGCTGTACAGCCATCTGTCTTGGGTGGTTTAGACACAACAAATCCTGCATCTTGGCAGGGGGTTACACTAGATGACCCTTGTGATTCATTCTAACCTTATGACTCTATGATTCTAATAACAAAATTATAAGGGAGAAAAAATTAAGAACACTTGAAGTACAAGGAAGATGGGGGGAGTTGAGAGCACCAAGAAGAAAACACAGGTTTGCTTCCTAATTATGTTGTGTATTCTCTATCCTCCCAACCACGCTGTTTTTATCTCAGAAACCCAATTGGCCATATCTGGCACACTTACCCAAGCTGAGTAGCACCTTATTCCACAAGTATTTCCACTGAAATTAATGGAACTATCCACAGTTGCTACTCAATGTACAGTGTAAGAATCTGATCCTATGAGATTTTCAGCCTTTCTCCATAACTATGCAAGATTATTTTGGCTGAAATTAGCTGTGTAAAAAATATCATAAATTTGAGGAAATCCCAGTCCCTTTCCAAGGTTTGCCCCTTCATCCATAATAGTCTAAACCAAACCCGCACATACAAGCATCCCTGAAGCTGGATCTGAATTTTTCCAAGAAGACATGTCTAATCTTAATGTTCAATGACACCTGCAAGATCTTTAATTTGTAATACTTCTAAAAATGAGGCATTTTAACAGTTAGAGGAGAAGGAAGAGGTTCAACTGTATTACTATTCTCAGATGTGGATTCAGGATAAACATCATTTTGGAATTTTTCATACGTTCTTTTACTAGATTATTTTTTAGCTGTGCTGGACATAGAACATCTCTCTCTGAGTGTTGGCTAACATTCCATAAAACCTGTCTGAGTAATAGTGGTGACAGGCTACTAATGTTCTCTCTTGTGATTCTCCCATTTTTTGATTATGTTTAATATTCATCTTTATGCTGATCAAATGGCAAATCACTCAGATCAGACACAGGACACATACAAGAAAAGGGAGAGTGGTCTTTTGTTTTGCTAAGTTAATTTAGGGGGTGTGAAAATTGCTGGTTCGACAGCCATTAGAAGGAAATTCCTCAATTTTGCCACAGAACAGGTGCATTATGTGGAGAGAATGTGCAAGCTACCTCACACCACCTCAACTCTGATATGGAATGACCTCTGCGAATGAAAGGATAAATCAGTCTCCATGCCCATTTCTCTCTTGGCCTCTCTACTAAGAGCGTGATCAAGAATGTCAGTCATGATGATGGGTTTTGTGATGTAGGTGTCCATTTGTATGTGGTGGACTTAAGCAGCCAGAAAATTACTTGTGTGTGTTAATGGAAAAAGAAAGGTGGGAGGAATTGCAGCAACAAAGTTGTGTAGAAGTATAGTGAAACGAACTCTCTCCCCCTCCACTCCCCTTCAGTGGGTGCAGAAGGTACTGAATACAGCAGAACTGGTGCAGTTGAACTATACAGATGGGGAAGAAAAGTCCTTGCAGAGGATCTACTTCTGAGGTGCTCCCTTGTCTGCTATTGCTGAGAGAGGTTTGTCGATGGGATGTGGGGGGTTGGGGGGTGAACAGGACAAAGGCCATATGGATAAAGCCCTGTGTGGAGGAGCCCCCCGTCCCAATCCCCTTCATGTAGGAGGAGATGCAGAAGCTATTTGCAGCTCTGATATTTAAAAAAGATAGTGTGGTGAATGTAAAATGGGATTATATGTTAATGTGAAGCTAGGAGGAGGTTAAGTTCCTGGAATCACTGACTGTGTCAGACTGTGAATGGCATGACCTGAAAAACCCTTACCCAATGTACTGAGCATAAAAGCAGAGCTGTGCAGTTACAGCTGTGCTACTTGCTGACTGATGTTGGATATAATCAAATGAAATCCTGAGAACAAGACATTCAAGCACTAAATCAGTTGTTTTACTTTTATTTCTGACTCACAAACATGTCTTGCTCTTCCTGATTTGACACCCCTGGCCATTTGGTTGTAGGTAGGTACACACACATGATAAAACACATGCATGCTAGCATTTTATCATCTTGTGCTTACTGCAGTCTCTAACTAGTATTAAATACGTGGGCCTGATCTTCTATTACTGTGCACCATGCGTAGTCACTTACACAAGTATGGTTTGAGTTGGTAGTGTTTTAAATTACACCCACTTTGCACTGGTATAAAAAAACTACACTACAAAACTATGGTGCAGTATAATAGGGACCCTGTGACAGGATAGACTTGACCCTGCCACACCCTGCCCCAGAAAAGAGCAGTGGAAAGGGTCCTACAAGCTGTCTAGAGAGGCAGCCTGGGATACAACTAATCAGGAAAGAGGCTGCAGAGAGCAGCCAATCAGGGCCCAGCACGTTGGTATAACAAGAGCTGCCGGGTTAGCATGAGTTCAGCTTGGTGGTAGGGACCTGGGTAGTAAGAGGTGCTCTTGGCTAGCCACAGGCTAGCTGAAAGGGCTGTACTGATCAATTACTGGCAGGGAACAGGGGAGCCCAAGAATATCACCTGGCTTGCTGCTGGGACTAAGCAGATAATTACTGGCAGAGAGCGGGGGAGTGAGTAAAGAGCTTCTGGCGGGCTGCTGGGGCTCAACTAAGATGGGCTACAGGGAAGTGGCCCAGGGAAATGTAGAACAGCATAGTAAAGAGATGCAGCACAAGGCTGTTATACTTAAAGGGTCCCTGGGTTGGAACCTGGAGCAGTGGGTGGGACTGGGTCCCATCCCCCCAACACCAGCCACTGTAGGAAATGACTATGCCCTAAGGAAGGGAATTAGAACTGTGGCACTTCAGGGAAGGGGGCTGTACTTGGACTGACTCAGCAAGGAGCTGTGGTCAGCTAACTGAGTCCAAGAGGGGTGGCTCAGCAGGAAGGCTGGGGTCACTGAGGACTCAAGTAGAAGCAAGGAGTCCCCAGGGAAGAAGACCTCGGGGCGCTATTCAATTCCAGAGTAGGGAGGAACCTTGTGACCTAGCCAGAGCAAGCAAGGGTACCGCAATGGGGCTTGTAGGACTGTTTTAGAAGACTGAGCCCAGGGAGGGCTGCAGAATATTGGGGACACTGTAGACTGTGTACCCCGGAAGGGGTCTGTTTGTGCCTGCAGTTTTTTTCTGCTCATGGAGCTCCTTGTGCTTGTCAGGTAAGTCTTTGGTGACTCAGCCCTCTGGCTAATTCGCACTCTGTGCATGTGCGAATCACCTGGAGGGCTGAGTCACCGAAGACTCACGTGACAAGCACAAGTGGCACCATGAACAGAAAAAAAAACTGCAGGGACACACACACACACTTGATAAGGGAGTGCTCGTGAGAGGTAGGTGCCACTCCTTTACAGACCCAAAATCTCCAAGCAGAAGATAAGGTGGTCCAAACTGGTGATGGTAGGGCTCCATCCGTGCTTCTGCACCTTCCCAAATGCCTCTTCAGCTCTCTGTAGCTCTCTACTGGTCAGAAAGACTTCCCAAAACACTGGAATCAGCCTGGAACATGCTGGCAACCACATAATGAATTTTGAAGCTTATTACAGCTTTGATAACAAATATATGTATTTCCTGTATGCATGTCATTTTTAACATGCTTTTAAAACCATACAATTTCATATTTAAAAAGCTCTCCTTTAGAATATAAACATGCAAATTCTATATATAATGCACTCAAGGGCCAAAAGCCACTCGAAAGTACTCTCTTGGTGCTTTGATCCATTCCCCCCACCCTCTGAAATCTGTTTATATAGACACACACACACTAAGCCCCTTCCAAAAATAATCTTGTGCAGAATAACACTACTGCGACCTGGTGCTTAGTGTTACCTAAAGGCTTTTTCTCTGGTTTCCAATGGCTCTTTCGCAAAGTGGGAACAGTTTGAATTTCTCAGTAGCTCAGTGGTCTGACTTCACAAGTTTTACCATTTTTTTTTCATCTTCATTGAGATTCCACCATGGGCCAAACTTCAGTGAACTCAGCAACCTGAAGAGGTGTTTGCTGGGGTCCACGTTTTGCAGTCATTCTAGTTCTGATAATGTACCTAGAGTTATTTTATAACAATAATATTGCCTGGTAGTCAGCTGCAGAATAAAATTTAGATTGCAAATCACAAAGTAGAAGACATCAACTGTATAGGAGTAAATGATACGAAAGCCCTATACTCTGACAGTACCAGTTACCACCTAACAAATGCATAATTTTGTTTCCCGTTTTTTCTTCATTCCAATTATTGTAAAGCCTCTGCTGCCATGGAAGGTGTAGTTTCTGCTGCTGTTTGTTTCTCACTCTCATTTATAAGACGCAGCAAACCAGATGCATTATATAAATATTTCCATCATTAACAACGATGGCAGGTTCTAAATAGTGTCTAGAAGGATGATCAGGTAAGGGGAAATTATTTAGAGTTCAAATATAACTTAGTGACTTGCCACATGGTTCAAAATCTTTCCACCCCTCCACTCCAAAAACCCAATCAGACAAGTAGCAGTAATCTGACTCCCAGTGCGCTCAGCGCTGTGCGCCTGGCTCTTAGACCTCTGTCTTCACTGCACACCACCCAGGGAAGGAATGAGTGGCAGACCAGCAGCAAGAAGCTGGGGGTAAGCGTCTTGTTCTTACTAGGGAGCTAAGCCTGAGTTTGTTCGGTGGACTTGAGATGTTTAGAAATTGCAAAGGTAGCCCGGACAGGCATAGGTGGTGTGGGGAGGGGAGGGGGTTTGTTCCTGATCTTTTGTAATCAGCTGTATTTATTAGAGAGTATTCTGACTGTATTTTTCCTGCCACTTTTAGAGCAACGAAGGACGACGTGTGAAGAGGGGAAAGGTGGGGGAAATACAGATCTTCTCCCGAGCCAATGCACTCAGCACCTCCCAGCCCGACCCCAAACCCAAGCGAGCACTCACCCAGGGGTTTCCCTGCTTTCCAACTTGGCTCGGCAAGAGCTGGCTGTCCAGCGCGACTTGAAAGAAATTAGCAGGAGCCGGCACAAGCCGTTCAGAGCAACAAACCCCGCTTTGTTCTGGGGCCGGGCTGGGCCCCGTCCAGCGCTGCGGGCGCGAGTTGCAGCCAAGGGCCAATCGGCCGCCCCGCACGGAGCGCCGAGGGGGCAGAGCGGGGAGCGCAGGCCGGGGGCCGCAGCGCCGAGAGGGTTAAATGGCTCGGCGCGCCTGTTGCCTGTGTGACGCCAAGGCAGCTGCGGCTCCGGGGGCGGGGGGGGGGGGTGCTGCTTCGTCTGCCCTCCCCAGTGTCCTGCGCCCAGGAGCCCCGCTCCCGGCTTTCTTCGCAGCAGCCCCAGCCCCACCTCCTCCCCCTCCCCGCTCTCCGAAGCGCAACACATGAGCGGTGCCTTTAACACCTTCCCCGACCATCCCCGCTGGCCCGGGGCTGCTGCACCGGCCTTCCCGCTCGCTTGTGAGTTGCGCTCTTGGTGGGTTTTGTTTTCCGCTCCCTGGGCAGCCGGTGGTTGGCTTCCAGAGCAAGGCAGGGGCGGGGAGGGATATTTGTTGCATGATCTTGGCCAAGAAAGTCTTTGGTTGCAGTGGGATGAAGCTGCCCTAGTAACTGGGCTAGCCCGTCCCTGTCTGGTAGAGGGGTGGGTGTTTTGTCTGTGTGCTGAAGGGGAAACATTAAACCACACGGGGCTGCAAAGTGGTCACGAAAAGGTCAGAGGCGATGCATTGCCTTTCGCCTGTTTGGACAGGGTCCTAAAAATACCTTTGTCTGTAAAAACAACAAGGAGTCTGGTGGCACCTTAAAGACTAACAGATTTATCTAGGCATAAGCTTTCGTGGGTAAAACACCGCTTCTTCAGATGCATAACTATCCCCTGATACTTTTCAGAGTAGCAGCCTTGTTAGTCTGTATCCGCAAAAAGAAAAGGAGTACTTGTGGCACCTTAGAGACTAAACAAATTTATTCAAGCATAAGCTTTGGGATGCATCCGATGAAGTGAGCTGTAGCTCACGAAAGATTATGCTCAAATAAATTTGTTAGTCTCTGACTGAAAGGTGCAACTGAAACTGTTTTTCGCTTGTAATATGGGGTCACTGTTAGGGCTGCCAACTTTCTAATCACACAAAAGGGAACACCTCTGCCCTGTGCCTTCTCCGAGGCCCTGCCCCTGCCCACTCCATTTTCCCCCTCCCCCCAGTCACTCACTCTTCCCCACCTTCACTCAGTTTCACTGGGCTGGGACAGGGGGTTGGGGTGCGGCAGGGGGTGTGGGCTCTGGACTGGGGGGGTGCAGGCTCTGGGATGGGGCCAGAGATGAGGCGAGAGAGGTTTGGGGTGCAGCAGAGGGCTCTGGGCTGGGGCAGAGGGTTGGGGTGTAGGGGGGATGAGGGCTCCGGCTGGGGCTCGGGATGAGGGCTGTGGGGTGGAAGAGGAGACACCCAGCGTTCCCGTCGAAAACCAGATGCCTGGCAACTCTAGTCACTGCCTAGAAAAGATTGAGAAGCACTGCACTGGATGTTTCCATCCAACCAAGCCATAGGTTTGGTTTGGCTCATAAGTTATAGGTTATTTTCTCCTGAAGAACTACAGTACACGTGTGTTTCTTGCAAAATTGGGTTGAGTTACATTTTGAAAGCAAAACAAAATTGGTGAGAAAAACCTAGGACAGCATGTGCTTGCCTTGCTACAACAGCTGACTGTCACACAAATTGTATGCAGGGTAGTTGTAGATGTGTCCGGCCCAGGATATTAGAAAGATAAGGTGGATGAGGTAATATCTTTTGTTGGCCCAGCTTCTGTGGCGAGAGAGACAAGCTTTCAAGCCATCCAAAGCTCTTCTTAGACATCCAAGTGAGTAATGTCTGTTGAACTGCAGGCAGCTGTGCCATAGAGGGCTGAGAGTGCTCCAGCTTGCTACAGAGGTGGCTGTTAAAATATTTGTGAGATTCACAAAACATTGAAACAAGTGACACGTGGAGTGTTGTTTGTAGTAATCCTTCACTTTGTTTGCTCTGCTCACTTTTAATCACTGACATAATTTTAGTTAGAAATGGATGAATTTTTAAAATTTAAGTGAACTTTCTTAGTGCTGTCTTTATTAGTGGTATTGCTTATAGTAATGCTTAGAGACCGTAATTCAGGTTGGGGTCCTGTTTCACTAGGTATGTATATAGTAAGAGACATGTCCATGCCCCAAAGAGCTAACACTGTAAATAGACAAGGCAGGCAAAGGACATGAGGGAAAACTGAGGCATGAAAGTGAAATGACTTGCCCATGGTCACACAGCAGATCAGTGGCAGAGTGAGAAATAGAACTGATGTCTCTTGACTCCCAGTCCACTGCACTACCCTTTAGGCCATAATGCCAATCTTCGTATCAATCACAGTTCACATTTCAGTGTCATAGCTACACTGGCACATCCATGCCCATAGGATGTTAAGAAAGAGAGGTGTGTGATGGCCGTCATGCTCGCTGAGGCACCCAGGTCCTCCAGAGCAAAAAGCATGAGCAGCTCCAGCATGAGAAAAGAGTTACAGCTCTGTAACTAAGGGCTGTAACAATTCATATCCTCTATGGATCAGCACAGAGGGGGACCAGTAACACACTCATTAGCGGGTTACATGTGCGTAAACAAAGCAAACACTTAAGATAATACTTGTAAAAATATAGATGAAACAATACAGGGCTACTGTGTTTTTCCACAAAGCTTAACAGGATGGAAATTCACCTTCTCTTGATAAACAGAGCCTGACTATTCATTTGTGTAATGCCTTAATATAATACTTGGCTCTTAAATAGCACTTTACATTTTCAAGACCTTCACACTCTGACCTGGATTGCCAGTTTGCAATCTGCCCTTTGTAAGGAGCAACCTGTTGTTGCACTGACCCTGGAGCAGCCTAGGAGAGACTGTGGCCTGGTCTACACTACAGAGTTAGGTCAAGGTAAGGCAACTTACGTCCATCTGATTATGTCAGTGTCTACTCCAGCCGATGTAAGTGCCCTACTACACCGACATAATAACTCCACCTCCACGAGAGGCACAGGGCTTATGTTGGTGCAGTTAGGATGATGCAGTGTCTGTGTAGACAGTGCATTACAGTGTTGGCTGTCATTCTTGTCAATTTCACAGCTCCTGACTGGAGCCCTAAAATTGACTAGAAAGGCAGGTAGGTTCCCTCCTGAGAACCTTGTGCCCGGCTCACAGCTGGTGCTGTCACCCCGGAGTAGGTGGAGGGCTCCAGCTGTAAGCCCGGCTACCGCCCAGGCTCTCAGCTACCCACCTGCCACAGAGCTAACTGCTGGAGCCTGGGCTCCCGTCGCCCCATTCATCACTAGGAGCCCAGCTGCCACCTGGGCTCCCCACTCTCTGACAGGAGCTTGGCAACTGCCTAGACTCCCTGCGGGGACTCCATGCTCAGAGTCTGGGCTGCTGCTTGGCTCCCAGCAGAGAGCGGGGAGACAGGAGCCCATGGGGCAGTTGGGCTCTAGATGGAGAGCTCTGCAGGAAGCTGAAAGCCCAGACTGTCAGCCTCCCACCCCCATACTGCTCCTCTTAACTCAGAGGAAGTGCTGAAAGTGAGCAAGAGCACCATCGACAGTGTAAACATGAAAAACCGCAGTAATTACTGTGGTGGCTGTAAATTGACCTAACATAGGTGCACTTAATTTTGTAGTTTCAGAGGAACAGCCGTGTTAGTCTGTATTCGCAAAAAGAAAAGGAGTACTTGTGGCACCTTAGAGACTAACCAATTTATTTGAGCATGAGCAGCTGTGGCTCACGAAAGCTCATGCTCAAATAAATTGGTTAGTCTCTAAGGTGCCACAAGTACTCCTTTTCTTTTTGTTAATTTTGTAGTGTAGACATGCCCTGTGACTCCCCAAATTAGTCTCCCTTCTGGTCTCTCTGCTGCTCCCGGGAGGGAGTAAACTGCACCAGGTTGATTCCTAGATTTATAGTTTTCAAGGCCAGAAGGGACCAGTGTGATTATCTAGTCTGACTTCCCATATAACACAGGCCATAGAACTTCCCCAAAAGAATTCCTAGAGCAGATCTTTTAGAAAAACACCTAATCTTGATTTTAAAATTGTTAGTGATGAAGAATCCACCACGCGCTTGGTAAATTGTTCCACTAGTTAATTACTCTCACAGTTAAAAATGTGTTCCTTATTTCCAATCCTAATTTTAGTTTCAATTTCCAGCCATTGGATTGTTTTATATCTTAGTCTGCTAGAATGAAGAGCCCATAATTAAATATTTGTTCCCTATGTAGACACTTATAGACTGTAATCAAGTCACCCTTTATCCTTCTCGTTGTTAAGCTAGATAGATCAAACTCCTTGAGTCTGTCTGTATAAGGTGTGTTCTTTCATCATTCTCATGGCTTGTCTCTGAACTCTCTCTAATTTATCAACATCCTTCTTGAATTGTGGACACCAGAAGTTACTCCTGAGGGAATTCTGTGCCAAAAATATTAAAATTCTGCACACAATATTTTAAAATTCTGCAAATTTTATTTGTCAATAAATAAGTGTGGAGGCTCCAGCATGGCAGTGGGGAACACAGACCACTGACTACACAGAGGTAGGAGATCACCCTGTGCCTCCTCTCCCCCAGACATGGACTCGGCGGTAAAGTTGCACCCG